TAATGGAAGAATTGAAAGTGCTATGGCACCTGTTCAGGCAGAGAGTTTTCGATAGAGTGGGTAGGTCCCAGGGCTGCCTCTCAAATCACTTTGCCTAAGAAGGTTCCTCCTTAATATATAAAAGCCTTCCACAAGTGTTTTGGAAACCAGGTCTTGCTGATGGCAGATGAGCAGCAGAAGGAGAACTGCCGACTGGTGTTGTTGTAAGGTATGACTGGAATCCAGAATTCAGTGTTTGGTGCCGTCTCTGTCTCTCCCTTCCCTGGTCTGTTGCCTCTTATGTCCAGGGTACATCAGATCTCTTGATGTGCCAGCCTCCTAGGGTTATCGTGTGTGGAAACTTCTCTCTCATTATATATGTAAATATGTATGTCTATGTATGTATGTATATGTATATAAAATGTATGTGGCATGATGTAAACAGTGGTTGCTAATGTTATTTCTGATTTGCTTTGGTCTTGCCCCCTTAGAGTAAGTAGTCATAGGACAGCAGTTGAGCGTAATAACTAATACTTACTGAGCACTCACTGTAAGTACCACACTGAGGACTTAATCTGAGTTATCACACTTAGGTCTTGGGTCCTAAGGGATTTGAGATGGGGAAGAAGGATGGGAATAGTCTCCCATTCTTCCTTGTCCTCAGGTCTTCCTTTGCAGGGACAGGTGGAAGGGTGAAGGAGCCAGCTGACATTGGAATAAGGGAGAACAACAGTGATGCCTTTAGAAGGAGAGAGGGCCAGGGAGATGGGAGAGGAGCGAGGGAGGAAAGGGAAAAAAGGGAAGTGAGCTGGATGCCTGTGTTTGCCCCTTGGATACCCTCCACCTTGCACCTGCTCTCTGCTCCTGGGCTCCCCCAACTTTTCCAGCTTCTGGCGGGTTTGGCTACTGGGGGAGGGAGGAGGGAGAGGTTGTGTGTTTATTCCTGGTCACCTCACCACAGGCTGGCTGTGACCCTTTGCTCAAGGTCGCATCACCCCTCTCCATGCAGCCATTCTTTCTAGGTTCTGGTGTCTGCTCCCTCTGCTTCTCCAGGCTTGGGGTTACACCAACTCCTTCTGTCGCCAGCCCTAGGTCCCCGCAACCCCCATTGCCGGCCTCTTTACACCCTGTGCTTAGCTTTGTAAATTTTCTGTTTTTGAAACTCTTCTTAACTACCCATTTGGGTATCCTGTCTGTCTGGGAGCCTGAGGTGGCCGATAGGACGGTCACCAGCTCCGAAGGCAGAGCATAGATGAAGGCTTAAGGTGTCTTTACTCCTGAGGGTGCCCCCACCCTATCCAGGCTGAGGCCTCTGGGCTGGAATGTAGGAGTCAGGTTTGACCTTCCCTCCAGGGAAGGCCATGGGCTTCTCCCCTGCCTCTCAGGTAGCCCCTCTGGATTGTTGCCGGAAAACCTATTTGTATCCGGAAGCCCACGTTCTGGGCACACGAATTTGGTGCCCAGATGGTGCCTGTATTTACAAAAGTCCAGCGCACTGACAGGACCTGCAGACACATGGATAAATATTTTGCCTCTCTTCTTAGGCAATATTTGAGTCTTTCACATTTAATTGCTGTCAAAGACAGGATGCTTGCATCCCCGAGGCAAAGCAAATAGTGAGGCCTCCAGTGGGGCTGTTTCAGCAGCTTCAGCCAGGCTCTCAGGCTGATCACCTGCAGTGCCAAGTGTCAGGTGACTGGGGGGGCTCGGGGTGAGGGAGACGGAGGCAGCTGGCCGCAGCCTGCCTGGAACCGGTGGCCACTTGCTGAGTTTGTTTTGAGCCCGAGAAAACCTGATCTTGGCCAAGAAATCCGATACTTTTCTCAGACATCCGCGATGGGCACCCATCTGGCCATTTCCAGGGAGATCTTGCTTGGTGTCTCCGAAGCGGAGTCCAGCACGACCCGCTCGACTGTACATATTGCTGATGATCCAGATTCTTGATACAGTTCTCTACCCTTTATATTTTCCTCTCCTGTTTCTTCTTAAAACAAACAAAACAAAACCCAGAAACCTCGACCTCGTTGCCCCTTGGATTACATTTACAAGTGTGCTGAGAGGCTGTTCTGCGTCTATCTGGTTTTTTGCCACCTCACTGTGATCAGATAAGCCTCTCCTTACAGTATCCAGATAGGGAAGGAGTGTTTGCTGTAGACGCAGAGTTCTGCAGCCATCACTTCCTTTTATTCATTAGATTCTGATTTGCCTCAATTATTTTAGTCCCTTTCATGGAACAGAAGCAGTTGGATGCCTTGCCCACTGCGGTTTTACAGAGGGCGCCTCCGATTATTCATTCCTTTCCTCCCAGCACATGTTACTGGTGCTCACCCTGGGCTGGGAGCTGGGGAGAGCGAAATGAATGGATAAAACCAGTCCCTGACCTTGAGAAACTCATAATCTAGTGGGGGAGCGAGGCATGTAAACAGATAAATCATAGCCCATCGGTGTGCTTGCCGCAGGAGGGCAGGAGCACGGGGAGGAGAGCGGAGGGACCTGGTTGAACCACTTACTGCTTCTCTGTAGCTGGGCGCAATCCAAGCTGCAAGGAAGGGCTTTGCCCAGGAGCCGCCGTTTTGGCTACTTCTTGGGAGGGTTAGGTGTGCATCAGGGGAAGAAAGATAGGAGAGTAGGTGCAGAGTCCTGATGGATACAGCTGATCCAGGGCAGGGGTAGGGAAGGCCACCCAGCTGGGACTTCCCGCCTGAGGAGTGTGAGGTTTATCCCATGTGTAAGAGAGACCACAGTTTCCTTTCTGAAATAGAGTCCAAGCAGCGGTGTGGAGGGTGGCCTGGCGGAGGGAAGCTCCGGTCGGACACTTCTGGGTTCTCATCCTGGCGCTGCTGTTTCCTTGAGAAGGTCACTTCATTTTTTCGAGCCTCTTTTCTCATTTGTGAAATGTGATCATATTATGCCAATGGTCATAGGAATGCCTACTTAATTGGGTTATATGAAGGATGAAGTAAGACAATATCCAGCACAGGGTTTTCTGCCATTGGGATAAGTACAGAACATGGAGGCTTACAAGTGGGTTGGGGATGTTGGTTCCTTCACAGGGAGGCTGACGGGGCCCAGGCAGCCGCATCCGTTTATCCCAGGGAGCCTTGCACACATGTCTGTGTGTGCCATGACATGAGTCACGTTGGAAACCATTGTTTTCTGAAGCACTTGGCAAGTGTTTCCTACAAGCAAGTCCTCAGTAAATGTGGCCGTTTGTTGAGATGGGTCATTGTATTCACACAACTACTCTAGAGGCTGCGGGCACAGAGGATGGGCTGGCTTCCAGGGACACTTCTGAGGTAGAACTGACAGAATTTGGTGACCAGTTGGATGTCAGGGAGGATGGGCCCCACTAGAGAGGGGGAGGCATTGGGGATGGCCGGGGGATTTACTATGTTGTAGACTGAATGGGAGGTTGATGCTATTCAAGGAGATTGTCATGGAAGTCAGAGCACGTGGGCTTAGGGTATGAACGTTACTTGAGATGGTCTGATAGACTGCTTTCCCAAGAAGGCAGGGCAAGATAGCAGGTTAGGGAAGAAGGAAGAGCCGGTGGGGATGTGGTCGGGGGGGAATGCCGGGGGCATGTGAGGGACTTGAGGACATTTAAAGGCTAAGGGGACAGAGGCAGAGGAGGTGAAGAAGGAAAAGTGTGTCTAACACTTTCTCCAAACTTTGCCTCCCTGGACAGTGTCTGTCCCATTGGAGGAGTGTCTGCCGATAACTGACAGTAGGGCAGTTGTCCAGATACGATTTACAATAAGGCATCTGATTCATGAGAGGGACTGTCTAAATTACTGCCCTCCACCAATTGCCGGGTTCCCTGCTGACAGTGTGCCAGGGGTCAAACAATTCAATCAGGTGCCACCACTTAGAAATTGAAAATCAGTGGGGTGCAAAATGGATTACCATCAAAATCTATTCAGGTGCAAAACCACATTTTAAAACCCCAACCCTTAGAAATCACCTCTTCCCTGATTCTTTACAATCCCCTGACATTGAGTTTTAATATTCCCCAGATATTTGTAAGCGTCAAAAGACATGCCTGCAGGAGACCAAAAGTGACAAGGAAGGAACTCCCAGTTGGGCCTTTCTTTTGGAATATGCAAACATGCTGGATGTATGAATTAATACATTGGTAATTCTTTTAGATTCTCGGGGGCAGCCGTTCTCAAACTTAGGCATACAACAGAATCACCCAAGGGCTTATTAAAATTCAGATTGCAGGCTCTACCTCTGAGTTTCTGATTCGGCAGCACTGGGATTAGGCCTGGGAAATGACATTTCTAGCAAGTTCCCAGAGGTTGCGGGTGGGCCCTGGACCCCACTTTGAGAAACTCTGCCCTAAGTTACAGGAGTACTTTGATAAGTTGGCAATGCATGCTTTGCTAGTCAAATTATCAGGAAAGGTTCCATTGGACCAGGCGTTGAGTGTGTTAAGGGGCTTGATTTTTTTCCCCCCAAGAAGCCTGAGAAGAGGCTGGCTCAAGGAGATAGACATGGATTTGAGGGCTTTGTGCTCAGAGGTGAGGTTGGGGCATGGGATGGAGGCAAGAGAAGAGGCCGCTCTGGCTCATTCTTCCGCGAGACGGCAGGTGCTGCAGGCACAGATGACCTCATTAAGGCCAGAGCCTGTTCTGCATTGGTCCATGGGTACAAACTATTTCTTTTGATGCCACACCTCTTCCCATCACTTGAAAGTTGATTTTCTTAAGGTTAAACAACCACAGGCACTACTTTCTTAGCAAGCTGCTATCAGCCTAAGCTTTGACTCTTCCCATCCCTGAATGATGCCACGGAGGTATTTTTCTATCTCAATCGATGGTGTTTGACTTTAGTTCTACTCTGTGGAGAGTAGACATGACTTTTTGGAGTTGAAGTTACTGCCTTGTATAAAATATAGGTGTCACCAGGCCCGATAGGAAACAAGTCTTTTTCCCCAGCACAGAACAATGGGTCCTAGAAACTGCCCCAGACGTGGTTGCTGCCTCTTTAACGTTCAGTTTCCCATCTCTCTTTGGCAGGAGAAATTGAGCGATGCACGTACATCAAATACCACTACTCCTCAGCCACCATCCCCAGGAACCTCACTTTCAACATCACGAAGACCATCCGTCAGGATGAGTGGCATGCCCTTCGTAAGTACACCTGAGTTTATTTCTTTGGCGGTGACCTTTGGAGGTCGTGGAGGTTTGGACGCCCATCAGCAGCCTGGTCTGGACGGATGGATGCGCCTGTTGGACCTGTGGATAGTCTCGGAGCGCAACAGCAGTTCCTTAAAGTGTCAATACCTAGGTCAGAATTGCCTCCACTGGCTTTGATTGCCTTAGATTTAAAGAGTTTGCTTCTAAAATTAAAAACAGGAGCGCCTGGCTGGCTCAGTTGGTAGACCATGTGACTCTCGGTCTTGGGGTTGTGAGTTCAAGTCCCACCTTGGGAGGGAGAGCCTACTTTAAAAAAAATAAATCAAGGCAACAAATACATGTAACATAAAAGACAATTAAATTAAAAAACCCCCCAAAACAATGAACAGACAATGATGGGTAGTCTTACTTCATTACCGGGTAGGCGTTTATGATTTCACCTATCTAACGAAGCTAGCTCCTGGGATCTAACTTCAGCGCCTCTCCTGAGTTGCTTGGAGCATTATCGTGGCAACCTGTTGAATCCCTTGTGCCATTCTTTATATGGGGTGAGGCCAGCTGGGGGTTGCAGGCTGCATAGCGTTGGGAGTTTGCGTCTGGGTGGGTTGCTAAGGCATAGGATCTCATCCTCAGTTTACGAGTTTCTGCTTCCCCAAGAATGAGAGACTTGGGGACCCAGTTCACATGTGATTGCTCAGCAGAGGTCAGAATATCTGCCTCCAGTGGTTAGGGAGTTTCTTGGTCAGGGACCCTCAAAGACTCTAATTATGGTAAGAGGATGACTTCATGAGCAAACAGTTGGCTGTTTTCATTTTTCTATTCCATGGGCACGTCCTGCTCGTCCGTGTCTGGGAAACTGTCCTTCGCTGGTGGCACAGTTCTTCAGCGGCCACATTCTGCTCCGAGTTGTTTCTGTTGCATTTGTTACTTCTTTCCTGTTGCAGGTCCCCCCCCGCCCCACCCCATGATATCACAAGGCTAAAAATCAGTTAACATTTATATGCGAGGGAGGGTCTTTTATTGTTTGCTCAATTGTTCCGTCAACTTTGAAGAAGGTTGAAAACCTCTTTCTTCCCTTTATTGTTGCCTAGTTATGTTTTGCATGCCTGGGGTCCTACAGGTATCTTCCACTTGTTAGTTTGGCTTCAACCAAACGACTGTGGATTGAGGTGGCGGGAGGTGAGAGGGGCGAGTAAGATTAAAACAGAGCAACGATTCATTGGTTTCAGGAAAAAAGACTGTGCCCAGGTGTCTGGATGATTGTTGCCACCACTGGCCCAAAGTGATAGAGCAGGTGTCAGTGGATGGGAAGGCATTAACCAAATTGTTACCTTCAGGCTTTGACATTACTAGAGAGAGTAACCAGAACATGGGGACAGAAGGCTAATGTTGCAATTCCCATGTACTAGACATTGAGCTAGGCTTACACATACTTATTTAACTTTAATGCGAGATTTGTCTTAGAGATTCTAGTACTCAAGATTACTAATTTTTTTTTTTGGATGTAGACAATTAGGGAGACAAATACATAAATACCCGAAAATGCCTATTTCCCGCATTACATTGGTCTACTGTAACAGAAGCCCACAGTAGATGTTCAAGATTCCTGATAAGCCTTGCTGAGTAACCACTTAAATATAACTTAAGTTATGGGGGTCATAACAGAATCTAAGAAGGAAGAAGTGATTGACGTAGCTTCAGTTCGTATTTACTCAGTTCAGCCAAAGGTACTGAGTTTTTCTCTGTACCCCGCACATAGTGGATACTGAGGCCACAGGGAACTCTTTGAAAGAGCTCACACCTGGAGGTGGAGGTGGGTGGGGGAGGGACATATTCACAAAGCAAATAATTACAAGGCAGTGTGATAATTACAATATGGTATAATTGTTTCAAGCAATTAAGATAGTTTGTGAAAGTTTTCCAGCAAGAAGGAGAATTAGTATAAATTGCACCGATGCATTTCAAGGGAAACCCAATAGAATGCTATTGGCTGTGCACAGTAGATACCCGGAATTCGACTAGATTACCCGTTGCAGCATTGCTGGAATTGTTATGTGGTGTTGGCAGAGACTGAGAGAGGAGGCTAATGCCAAGGTTTGTGGCATTTTCTTTGAGTCCAGTGTCTCTGGGGTCCTTATTCTGAAACTCTGGTACCATTGGGTTCTGCAAAATCAAGTGTGCCGCTTATGCTTGTGAATTGGGGTACTACTAGATCTCTGCTTTTAATGGATAAAAGCTCTCTCAGCATGCGAAGGTTTTTGGCATCCCATGGTGGGTGAAGTGGAGGGTACCCTTTGGTGAGGGATTTGTCTGTTTCACAAAGTGGCCTAATGGGCTTTTATTAAGCAGGCAGAGAACATTTGCCATTCCTGACATCGATGACAGCTATTTTTAGCCAGAGGGCAGGTGAGCATCTCTCACATCTGAAGTTGGTGCTAAGTGTAATTGGCAATGCTGGCATAATGGGAAAGGATAATAAATGTCAATTTTAATTTTCAAAGGTCAGATAGATATTAAGTAGGAAGAGGGTTCATGAGTCCCCTTTCAAATAAAGTAGAAACTACAAAGACTAGCAAACCCCTACGACCAAGCTTTGGAAATTAAAAAAAAAAAAATCAGACTCTGATTTCTTATTTGAGAGTTCTGTACTCTGTAATACTGTAAATGAGATCAAATAAATCCATTTGATACCAGGTTGGTTATCATTTTGGAATTTGACCATAATATCTTACATTCTATCATTTCGCTTAATAGATCATATCTGCCAAAGGCAAGAAATCAATTTTTTTTTTGAAAGAACTTGGTAAATATTTCAGACTTTGCTTAAACTGAGGTTAAACATTTCTCGTTAGGGATTTGCATGGGGTCATCACCCCTTGATGTGGGGAAAAACTTTTTTTTTTCAAATAGGAAAGGCACAATTTGGTTTAAAACTGTGCTGTGGTTTCTGAACAGTTAACACCACCAGTGGGAGGCTTCACTGTTTGGCTGAGAGCTCATCCACTTTATGGTCAAGTGAATAGTAGGTGAAAGAATAAAATTATTTGTAGGTCACTAGGCTTATAAATCCAAGTGTAAAGAGATAATAACCACCTTGGGGAATAAAGGTGAGAACTAAATGTGTGTGTGTGTGTTGTGGGGGTGGTCTCTGAGGTTCGAATGCCTACTTGTCTGAGTGACTTGCTGGTGAGGTTTACTTGGGCTGGATGGTGATGGCTGGTGAGGCACTGTGTATCCTGTTGTCCTTCTCACCCCGGAGGAGGCAGAACTCCTTCCAGAGTTGGAACCGTGCCCTCACTCCACCTGGGCCTGGCGCTCTGTCTGGGGCAGCCCCCTTGCTGTCCTGTCTGTCTGCTGCCTCCCATTAGGTTCCAGTGACCCTGAGTGGCGTTTGTCCAGCCCCCGTGCGTCTGACCCAGATCCTCCTGCCCCCTCCAGCTGCCACTGGGCCAGTGAGGTTGGGATGGTGGTGACGGGAGATGAACTTGGCCAGTGCCACCCTCTGGGTGGGTTGTCCAGTGTAATGTTTTGAATGTGACAAAATCCGATGAGCGGCAGTGAGGGGAAAGCAGGTTGGCACTGCGGTGGCACCCGAAACAGTGCCACTTCCTCTTTTCACTAGAAAATAATGTCCCCACAGGCTTTTCATGCTCTACAGCTCCGTCTGAGGTTGCAGCCCTTGTTAGGAGGATTCTGTGTCCTCCTGCCACCTCCAAGGGCCTCTGAGGCCATCCCCAGTGGCTCTGCCTTTGCTCTGTGTGCCACTGGCGTCCCTTTGGCATGCCCTTTCAGAGCAGATGGAGGTCTGCACATGGCTATTGGCTGGGCAAGGGGAGGTGGGAGGGCGGACAGCCTGGGTGGCCCATGAGAGGCCCCGGGGAGACAGGAGGCCTAGAAAGCTGGGTCTGGGAAGACGTCCCTGAGAGATGAGTGCTTCTGCAAGAGGGAGTTGGCACAGAGTGGAGCTGCACCGGGTGACCCTGGGGAGGCTAGCAGGTGGTACCGAGGAGGAGCCTGCCTGGGCACCGCAGGGCAGGCACCTGGTGGAAGATGCGAGAAGGATACGCCTTCTTACCCTCTGATCTCTGCTTTGCTGCTACCGGGTTTCCCGTGGGGTCTGAGCCCCAGGACTCCTGAGTCGCCGTTCTTGTGCACTCGGGGGTTTTTCATTCCACATGGCGTTTTCAAGATGGAGGTTTCAGCTCACAGCTGATTGCCCCTGGCAGCGGAAATCAGGGAGCTGGGACTCCACTTCCCTGCAATCAGATCCTGTCCCTTATCTCTCAAGAGGCTGAGAGCCAAGAAAGCTGGAGTTTTTTATATATTTATTTTTTTAAAGCCTCCTTCTGTCAAGACTGAAAGTTCAGTTAATTAGATCTGATGGTCACACGGCACATTTCCAGCTGGCCAGGGAGGGAAAGAGAAGGAGGAATGATCTCCTCCTCCTGACACGGGCATCGCTGCTCCCCCATCCTCCTGAGGGCGCTCCTCCGACAACACGCAAACACGCTCACACAGTAGCTCTGGAAAGTGGGATGGAAGAAGTAAGATCTGTCGTTAAAGAGGGAGGAGGGGAGAGGAGGGAGGGGGCGTAGGGGAGGGAGCCAGACAGAGATGGAGCCTGAGGCTGTCAAGAAGCAAGGGCATTTCAGTGGCTGTGCTGAAAGAGGGAGAAGAAATCAAAATCCAGAGGTTTCTTTTCTAATGTAGACCCTCGAATGACACACCTGGCTTCCTGCCCCAAGGCTTGAGGCTGCTCATAGCGGGGGGGCCTGTAGGGTAGCTCAGTTTTTGGGGGGCAACCCCCACCCAGGCTGGTGTATGGTGAGCAGCTCAGTGTGTCCTGCAGCTCTGTTGTGCATTTCAGTGCGGAACCCTCACCTTACTCTGCTTGGCCAAGCCCTGCTTGGTCTCCTCCTCTTCTGGACTCTTCCACCCCCTCTCCTCTTTCCGTAATTAGTGCATCCTGCCCCTGGACCCTAGTCTGCCTGGGC